ATTAGGGATGAAACAGAAGTGACAGCAGACACGAATGAAATAAAAAGATTAATTACGCAGTCCCACCAAAGATTACATTCCAACAAATTCAATAATTTGGAGGACATGAACAAATACCTGGAAGTTCACTCTCTCCCCAAATTAACACACATAAACATTGAAAACTTGAGCAGACCCATAGCAAACTAAGAGATAGACAAGGTCATCAAGAACCTCCCAACTGAAAACAGCCCCAGTCCAGATGGCTTTGCAGAATTCTACCAAGCATTCAGAGAAGAGCTGACACCAATCCTACACAAACTATTCCAGAGCATAGCAAGGGACAGCAAACCCCCAAACTCCTTCTATGGAGCCAGCACAATCCTAATATCAAAATCAAGCAGAGACCCCACAAGGATAGAGAATTACAGACCAACATCTCTCATGAACATAGATGCAAAATTTTTCAACAAAATCCTGGCAAACAGAATCCAACACATATCAAAATATAATAATAATACATCATGACCAAGTGGGATTCATACCAAGGAAGCAGGGATGGTTCAACATTTAGAAAACAATTAACATATTCCACCACGCCAACAAGAAAAAAGAAAAGAACCATACGATCGTATCAACTGATGGAGCAAAAGCATTTGATAACCTCCAACATCCACTCCTAATAAAGACTCTCAAGAAGAGAGGATTAGAAGGGGAAATCCTCAATAAAATAAAAGCCATATACAAAAAAAATAATTGTCAATATTACACTCAATGGAGAAAAGCTGAAAACATTTTCACTGAATAAGGGAGCCTGACAATGATGCCCCTTATCCCCACTGCTATTCAACATAGTGCTGGAAGTCCTAGCCAATACCATAAGAGAACGACAAGATATCAAGGGTGTATGGTTGTGTAAAGAAGAAGTGAAACTTTCGCTGTTTGCAGATAGTATGATTTTGTATATTGAGAATCTTAAGGTGTCCACAAGAGGATTGCTGGAAAAATAGAGGAGATCAGTAGAATGGCAGGATACAAGATTAACAAGCAGAAATCAATTGGATTCCTAAATACCAGTGATGGGAATACAGAAAAAGATATCAAGGAGTCAGTACCATTCACAGTGGCCACGCAAAAGCTGAAATATCTAGTAATAAACCTAACCAAACAGAAAACCAAAAGACCTGTAAAAAGAAAGCTACAGAACATTATTACAAGAACCAAAAGGGATCTGCACAAATGAAAGGATATCCCATGTTTGTGGATCGAAGACTGAATATTGTGAAAATGTCCATCCTACCTACAGCAATCCACAAATTCAATACAATCCCAATTCAAATTCCAGCATCATTCTTCAAAGAAATGGAAAAACTGATGACCAACTTCATATGGAAATGGTAGAAACCCAGGATAGGCAAAGATCTCAAGAAGAACAAAGCAGGTGGTTTGCACCAACTGACCTCAAAACCTACTCTACAGATACAGTCGTCAAAACAGCCTGCGACTGCTATGATAGATATTCAGACCAATGGATCAGGAAAGAAAACCCAGAAATAAAAATATCCGCATACAGACAGATGATTTTTTAACAATGGCCCCAAAGCCATTAATTAGGAAACAGATGCCTTCTCCAATAAATGATACTGAAAAAACTGGATATCCACTTGAAGAAGACTAAAACAAGGCCCATGTCTCACCCCATGCACAAAGGCAAACTCGAGGAGGATCAAAGACTTGAATGTGAAACCCAGCGCTATCAAGATCATCAATGAGAAAATTGGGATGAAGCTTGGAGCTTTATCCATGCAGGAATACACGGGCTGTGTGAAATAACAGAGGAAGCAGACTCTGGGGAAGATAAAATAGATGAGTGGGACCTATTAAACATAAAACACTTGTGTACATGGAAAGACTGCATTAAAAGAGTAAAAAGAGAGCCCACAGACTGGCAAAAGATACTTAGCAACGACATAGAAGGCAAAGGACTGATTACTAACATCGATAAAATTTTACAAGCCTACAACAAGAAAAAAATCTCATAGCCCTCTGAGAACATGGAGTAAAGACCTGAACAGACAATTCACAAAGATTGACACTCAAATGACCAATAAACACATGAGGTGATGCTCCCGGTTATTAGTCATCCAGAAAACACAAGTCAAAACAACCATGAGATATCACCTAACTGTGGCCCATTACTGTAGCCCATTTTAAAAAAAACTAAGAACAACAAATGTTGGAGAGGTTGTGGTGAGATAGGAACTCATCAACTGCTGGTGGATTTAGAAATACATACAGCCACTCTGGAAAGTGATTTGGCAATACCTAAAGCAGAGGGCAATTGATCTACCATATGATCCAGCAATACTACTAGGCATCTACCCAAAAGAAATGAGAAACAGATCATGAACAGACATTTGTTCCCCATGTTCATCACAGCACACAGTTCACAATAGCAAGAAGCTGGAAACAGCCTAAATTCCCATCAATAAAAGAATGGATAAAAAAAACTCTGATACATGGACACAATAGAATACTATGCATCCCTACAAAACAGCGAAGAAACACCTCAAGTCGTGGAGAGATCTGGAAGACATTATGTTGAGTGAAGTTAGTCAAGCACAAAAGGACGAACACTGAGGGAGTCTACTGCTGCAGGAACAAGCATCAGAATGGGCACAAGTTCAAGCTCGTAGGACTGGGGACCAGACCTAGAGCCTGGTAAAGAGCTGGATCAGTGCCACTCCAGGTAAGTAGCGTGTAGGTCACTTTGCTGGAGGGCCCCTCACGACAGCTGTGATTAAAGTCAGGGGAGAGTGGTGGGGTTGTCTGCTGAGTGGTAGCCATGTGGATCTGTGGTGATGTCCCCGGAGACAGGAACAGCCTTCTCAGAGGGATGAGACTTACAGATGGGAGGGCAGCATGGTAGAGGAGAGAGGGAACGGTCAAGTTTGGGGAAACATAGGTGCATGTCTGTTGAGGGGAGGGGAGGGGAGGACTGACTTCCAGGTGGGGGGAGGATGCTCTTGGGAACATTAGGTGGGAAGGGTCTTCAGTGGCAAGCAGCGGGACAGCAGAATTGACTTAGGGCATCTGGTGTTTCCCGGTAACCCAGGCTGGGTGTCATAGAACACTGGGACACTGAATCCTGGATCCTTGGGGCACACATCATGCTCCAGAGGCTGGATAGGTGAGACCCCATACAGGAACTCCACTGGGTGAACTGGACTGTAACCCTGGCACATTGTAACCCGAGGGCTTAAGCCAAAAAATGCATGGTGTCTGAGGAAGCAGAAGACACGAGCAGTTGGTTGGGGACAAACAAGGCCTTGCTACATCAATGCCCTGTAAGCTATATTGAGACACAGTATTCCTGCAATCCTGTGATGGCCACTCCGTTTTATTTTGTTCTCCTTGTTTATATTAGGGTGTATCCCAGAGGTGCATCACCATTGGGGGTCACCCTCTTGAAGCTGTGTTATTTCTTTCTTTGTTTTCAGTAAATGAAGCCTAGGGACATTGAGCCTATAGGGAAAGAAAATATAACAAGGGTCTGGAGGGAAGGGGGATATAGAGGAGTGGGGTAGATAAGAGGAAGCTATCAAAAAGTCCAGGAATGAAAAGTATGTTTGGAGACTGATTGCCGAAGCAAATGCACAAATCTGTTACACATGATTGAACATATGTAGTGATAAAACATATGTATTAACTCCCAAGTCACAGCATATTGAAAAAAAGAAACAGATCTAGGAGTGGGTTTGGGGGTCACCCTAAGGCAAAGACCACCGAAATCTTGATTACGTTGGATGGAACTTGATACTTGGCCTGTTGACCTCCCTTTAGACTTGACCTGATTTTTTCTGGGTTCAAGTATCTCTTACTTCTTCCTTGACAGAAATCTCTTCCCCCGCTTTTTGAATGTTGATGGGGGTCTTTTCCTTCTTACGCATTATTTATATGTTTGTCCTTATACTATTATGATTTTTATCCTTACTACCTTAGTGTGATATTGTTTTTCATTGTTTTCTGTTGGGTTTCCTAGCTGTGGAACACAGGAGGAGTGGATGCATAATGATAATAACAGATACAAGGGAGTGTAGGGAATGCCAGGGTGGGGGGACAGGGAAGGAAAGGGGATTTAGGGAGTAAATAATGAAGACAAGAGTGGGGAGAGAGCAGTAGACTGGTTTGTGATTTCACAGCTCATATCAAAGGTGATTTAAATGTGGGGTGCGGGCATGGAATGCTCTAAAATTGATGTGGTCATGATTATACAATTGTCCTTGATATGGTTGAACAATTGAACTACTGAATTGTGTGATATATAAATTATGTGCCAATAAAACTGGTGGGGAAAAGAGAGAGAACAATTTAGACAAATATAGAATCCCATCAAGTTTGAATGGTTCTATTGTGAGTTGGCAGAAATTAAGATATGAAACATGAGTCTACTTTTATAATTAAGAAAAATGAAGCAAATGTCCTTTTTAAGTAAGTGGAACTTAAATGTTGCATCTCTCCTGTCATTAACAGTCTTTAAAGATTTCTTAAGGACTGTCAGTCATTCATGTAGTCTTCTGAAGTATTTGTTATAAGTTACTAAAACCCACATAAGCAAGCTATGTTCTAAGCTATTTTCCACATCCTCCCTCCCACACAAAGACACCTGAAAATGAAGAAAAGAAATAGTAAACTATGGAACCAAGAAGGAAGAACAGAAGAAAACTGCTTGAAAATTAGCACATTGGGAAGGCAGTATGTTTGCATAACGAGAGAAGTCTATAAAAGGAAATCATATTTTGCTCTGGATTATGTAAAGATAAAATAAATGAAAAAGGAGATTCCCCTGTGGCATGTTGCAATTCCTGGGTCCAACCATTTCAAGTTTCGCAGTCCCATGGCAACTCAGCAGGTCCCTGCACACTTGCATACCACTTGGTATGAACACCATACCCTTTACTAGGTTAGAACCCAAAATCTTTCTGATGTAATTGTATCAGGTACTTAGACAAGTTCCTCTTCTAGACGAATCCTCCCCAGTGCCTCAGGGAGTTTGTGTTCAGCTCCCCCTGCAGTCCCAGCACTGTGGCACTCACAGCACAAAAGTACTCCGCAGAGTCGGTCCAGTGAGCAAACTGCTTCCTCAAGTTGAAGGAAGACTCGCTTTTCTTAAGTTCAGCCTCAAAATCTTTGATGCCTTTCACCAGGGTGTCTCCTGAAAGGTACTTGAGGAGAAGCTGGAGGCTTTCGTTGGGGTATTTGACGTACCAATAGAGGGAAGGGACACCACCGTAGGAATAGTTGCATCTCAACTCCAGTAGGGCATCTTCAAAGACAGAGATGTGGACATCAGGCTGGGTCACTGACTGCGCACGGGCATCTCCTGCAAAATTCAATATGCACCAGTGAATGCAAAACATACTTGACTATAAGAAATATTTCTAGTAAGATTTTCATTAGAAAAATAAAAAAATTATGTCTGTGGAAGGAGGCACCATAATATGATTGTACTCACTCAGGTTAAAAGCCATCCCAAGTACTAGGATGAGCAGTCGGAGCATGGCTAAAAAATGGGAATTCTTCAAACTTCTGTCTTGAAGATCTTCCTGGAGCAAGCAGAAAAAGTGGCTGCAGAATTGACCTCTTGGAAACGGGTATGAGGAAGGCTGGACTGGAAAAAGCACTTGAACAATTGAAAATACACAACTGCTGAGGTGACCCTGAGTCCTTTCTGAACTCTGGCTCCTCTCGCGTGTGCCTGTCTTCAGAAAACCCACTGGAGGTGCAACAGCAAGGAAGGCATTAGAAGAGATTTTGAGTTTAAGCAGAGAGATAACCTGTTGGTGCGACATCGCCCTCTAGAGGCCAGACACCGAACCAAAGATCCAGAGATGATCGAAAACTTCCACTGGCGATGTTTCTTTTTTCCACAATCTGGGATTACATCACTCCCTGTAACATACTGTACTTCGTCTACATGAGAAATGGGCTCTGTAATGCACAGGAGTGGCTTGAAGTCCTTCAGGATTTGCAGCCCGATGGAACCGATTTAGCCATATTGCTGCTTTTTTATTTTATTTTATTTTATTTTATCATTTTATTAGGGGCTCACACAACTCTTTTTTTAATCATTTTATTAGGGGCTCATACAATTCTTAGCACAATCCA